TTTATTGCTAGGGTGTCTAGGTTTATTTTGGATGGCTCTTGGCATCTCCCCCTTAGGGGTGTGCAAAAAATCCAAATTGATCCGAACTAATCCATAACCGATCCGATCCGCATTGAAAAATTTGATCCATTTTGAAAAAAATCTGAACCGATCCACTTTATGAAATCGGTTCAAATATCCGATCCATTTTTACAAATGGTAATAGGGTCAATTTATGGACTGATATATGGTCAGTTGTTGAAATTCTTAATATTGATCATAGTTTGCACTCTAAATTTATTGCTAGGGTGTCTAGTTTTATTTTGGATGGCTCTTGGCATTTCCCCCTTAGGGGTGTGCAAAAAATCCAAATTGATCTGAACAAATATATAGCCGATCCAATCCGCATTGAAAAATCCGATCCATTTTGAAAAAATTCCGAACCGATCCACTTTATGAAACCGGTTCAAATATCCGATCCATTTTTAAAAAATGGATCGGTTCGGTTCAGTTTGGTTTTTTTAAAAAATTGATTCATATATGAGTAAAAAATGGATAACCGAGCCGATCTAATTTCAAAAAAATCGATCCATATTTTAAAAAAACCAAACCGGACCACTTTTAAAAAATGGATCGGTTAATCGATCCACTTTTATAAAATAGTTGGGTTCGGATTTTTCAAAAAACCGATCCATGAACACCCCTACTCCCCCTTCCTCCACAATAGGATTGGAGATTTTATTTCAATTATTATACTTCCTAACATTCTTTTGATGATTGTCTTAAGTGGTCTCATCCTCTAAATGGTGATTTAACCTTCAAAAGTTCCTTTGCTTTTGTTAAGACAAGCATGCCTAAACTCAATTAGGCTAAACATATTTTTCACAAAAATACTCCTCCTTCTATATCTTTCATCCTATGGAGATTACTTCACAATACCTATAGACAAATCATTTAGATAAAAGAAAGTACTTCTTACTTCCATATGTTCTCATTATTTTAATGCTTTCGAAACATCGACTCACTTATTTTTTGAATGTCCTTTTGCATAGAAACTTTGGAATTGGCTTTCTTATACATTTAGGCAATAATTTAACAGGAACAACATACTGGACATTCTCAATAGGCCTTGGAGAAAGTCAGCCAACATTTACCTTCTAGCAACCATTACCTCTATAGTTGCTGAAATACAACATAGCAAAAATCATCTCAAGTTTCACAATATATAAAACTACAAGCTTCCATCATTTGAAAAACAAATTTTTCTCAATTGTTAATTCTTTTTGTTCATCTACTAATTTTTCTATGAAATCTAATATAGTAGAGTTTAAAATACTTAATTTTTTTATGGTTACTTGCAAGTTGAGGTAAATGGATACTATTCTTAAGGTCAATCGGATTCCACCAGATCCTAGATGGATCAAGTGCAATACAGATGATGCCTTTATGGAGTATAATTCCTCTTCTGCTTGTGAAGTTATCTTTAGGGATAGCAATGTTGTCTTACTAGGTTGCTATGTTGAGTCATTAGTTGTCAAGTTTGCCTTTGAAGAAAAAATCTTGGTGGTCATTCGTGCTTTTCATCTTGCCTTGGACCATGGTTGGATGTCTCTTTAGATGGAGTCATATTCCACTTTAATTGTCAAATATTCTTATGACTATTTTATAGTGCCTTGGCAATATAGAATTAGGTGGCTTAATATACTTGATATTGTTAAGCATATAAGGTTTGGGTTATCTCATATGTATAGAGAATGTAATAGTTGTATAGATAGGTTACAAAGTTATGGGATTCATCATCCTAACTCTCACTGGTGGAATTTTATCCCCTCTTGTATTGTTCACTCCTACACTAAAGGTCCACTAAAATTGAATTACCTCATATGAAATAAATGAACTCAAAATCCATACAAGTAGAGAAAATCAAATTGTAACTTAACTCAAAAACATAATGAAAATAAACTGAATTACAAAGAAATTAAAATCATAGTCCTCCAACTAAACAACATTAAAAAAGATCCCTAATCTAGTCCTAACTACGCCTCGATGTCACATGTCCTATCAAAACAACTCAACATGAAGGCTAAGCTTCATCACCAACATCTCGAGCATCAAGCTAATGACCATTGGCATAAACCACAAGAGTAACAACAACAAAAGCAAGAGAGTGAGAAACATCTCACTCTAGCTCGCGGTAATAGAATGCAACTGGATAACCATACATAAACAACATACCAAAAGATATAACATGCATAGATCATCATCATCCTCACACTTGGTTCATTCATAGCACACCAATCAATAACAATGCATTATAATGCCTTATGCAATGGACATGGACTACATGTTGTCATACATGTGACGCTAGTAAAAACATCACACTTGTGCATTATTGTTAGCAATACATGTAGAGTAGCCTAGGAGTACATGTCGAGTCACACCCTCCCACACTCTCACTAGGAAGACATATTAGCAAGGTCTAGTCAGGATAGCTAAGCCTCACAAGATACATCTCATGCACATGAAGGTAAGACTAAGATTTCCCAAACTGAGTTATCCCCAAGGTTGATCCTCAAGCTTTTACACAAGGGGTCTTCCTTAGCGGTGTATTCCACATTATACCCCAAAAACATATTTTATGCAAATGATGCATGTCAAACAAACTTGATGCAATAACATACACATGATCTCACTTCACATATCATATATACCTCATATCACATTATATATCCCATGTACATTCTTAAATACATCGGCTAGTTATTAGTAGAAAGATAGCATCAAGATCACAAGAATAAAATAACCATCTAATAGTTGTTGAGCGAATGTTACCTTGCTAAGTGAGTTGAGCTCCTTCGAGCCTCTTGCTAAGTGATTAACATCTCATTGAGTGAGCTAAGCTTAGAGTTTCTTGATGAGTGATCAACATCTCCTTGAGCGAGTTAAGCCCCTTAGAGCTTCTTGTTGAGTGGCCAAACATGTATCGCTAAGTGAGAATGTGATCTTTCTCCTTGAAAATCATGTCTCCTTAGTGACTATAAGTTACCTACATCCAATTACTCACATAAACTCATATACAATTGATAAAAATGTTCCATAACATGCAATTAACATTTTAAATCACTCAATTTACACATATTAATCAATATCTTCACACAATTATCACAATAAGTTCTTTTAGAATTTTCCATAAGAACCCATAAGGACCTCGAATCATGCAGTTATCAATAAAGCATGCAATTAATCATACAATCAAACAATTCATGTCATTAGTTATGTATAAGAAGAAGAATAAAAGCAAAAGAAAACAATTGGGGAAAACCCCTTATGCATAAACAATAAAAAAAGGTAGTAGAATTGGGGGTCAATCCCACTACCCAACATACAAACTCACAAACGAATGCGTGTGTAAAAAGAAAATGCGTAAAATAACAACCAATCAGATACTTACTTTTTTTAAAAAATAAAAATAAAAAAAAATTTATTCCCTTAATCCTTAGTCAAAACTTACTCAACCACAATTACTAATTCTCTTCCCCTCAATTAATTAAATAAAACATTTAGTTATATAACCTTATTTTATATTTCAAAATATATCAAATAATTTAAATAAATATTAAACAACTCCAATAATTAAAACAAAAATACCAATAATATTTATTAAAACATATTATATTTTATGAAAAATAGGATATCACAGTATTTCATGTTTTAGATTTTCTTAGTGGGTTTAGGGTTTAGATGTAGTTCTAAGGAGTAAAATAGTCCAAAAATATATACACCAATAAAAGATATTCATCCTTCATTGTCGTTGTCATCATTATTTCTATTACTACATGTGCGAGTTTGAGCGTACTCGTACCTACTAATGTTTGGAAGTAATTACTCATATTTGAGCACATCTCATTAAGCAAAGAATTATGTTACCCATTGTCCATTGTCATCCTTAAAAAAAGAAGAAAAAAAAGTAGTTTCTATTTTTTTAAATGTGAATTTAGACTAATTAAATTCTATAAAACTAACTTGTAAGAAAATTACATCCCTTATATACTTTATTTTGATCATACTAATAACCAATGTAAAAGAAGTGCTACAACTAAAATAAAAAAATCACTCATAAATTATCAAAATGAAAACATTAAAAAAAAAAAACTATACATAGTCTGAAAGCATTCAAACACAGGTCAAGCGTTAAAAACATAACATTTTAACTATAAATTCTAATCATTTAACATAATCATTATAAACTTGACATCACATAACAATACTATCTGATACATGCCAAAAATATGATACAATGAAACTAATTAGCTTAGAAATAATTATTCGAAATTTGAAAGAAAAAAAAAACTTTTCTGATTAAAATATTAAAATTTTCATCTTTGTGTGAAAACTTATCACTCAAATTTAAATAGTAAATAAAGCATAACAAAAATAAACTAAGGTTTATACTCTAAAAACTAATAATTAAAAATATTAATAGAAGATAGAACAACTATAATTAAATAAATTGAATAGTGCAATTTATAATTTTTTTTTTAAATTATATTATAAGATATTTTATTTAAATAATTATATATAAATAGACATGCATGCATGTGCCAGGTTGAGTAGGTACTATAGTATAAACTTGTCCCCATCACCTATTGAATTTGCAAGGAAATCTTCCCCGTCACTCCTGTCCCATTATATGGATTTTTACTCTCATCAAATATATCTTTTCTGGATCCTCTTAAAATCCGAGTACATTTTACGTCCTTAGAGCATCTGTAATAGAGATTGCTTATAAACAACTCTCTGTGCCACATCAGCTCTAGCATACTTTATAAGTTGCTTAAATTTTAGTAGAGTTGCTTGTAAAAACAACTCTGCTAAAATTTAAGGAACTCATAAAGTAAGCCAGAGCTGATTTGGCAGTGATGTGCCACAGGAAGTTGCTTATAAACAACCCTCATTGAAGATGCTCTTAGGCCCCATAACATTTTAAAATATAAGTTTAAACTTAATTTTAGCAAACCAACTTAAGGTAAGAAATGCTCCTATTTATATACTTAATTTTGACCAAATCACTTGAATATTTAAACGAGTGCCATCTAGACATCTACACAAAATGATCGTGGTGCAATGAACAAAGCTGATACATAAGAACTATAACATTACAAATTACCCTATCCTTGAGAGCAATTTCTAAGCTGAGAAAGCTAAAGTCAAATCACTTTAGACAATTGCCCAGAACTTTTTCCTGCAAATTAATACAGTTTCCATTTTCTTTTCTTTGTTTTCTAACAGATGCGATTCCACATCCCACAGGAATTTTGGGGCAACCTCTTTGATTCTTGAGGTAATATCTTCCTCATCCCTGATGATAATAAATCCCTGTATATAATAAACAGTTCAGAGTCACTAGTAATAAAAGAAAATGAAAGTTGAGTTGCAACATCAGAACTTAGCAAGAAAAAATAAGGAAAAATTCAGGAGTGAGAAATAATTATATATATATATATATATTTATCTATTGAAATCGAATTCAATAGCAAGGAATTTATAATAACTCATGGTTCATGTTGAACCAACTAAGTTAGACTCCATCGGTAATTCACTTGATCTCTATAAATAAATGAACGAATAGGTAAACAAACAGTCACTATACAGACACTCATATTATGCGATAGATTCTACAGTGTCTTGTTCCGGACAAAGTAACAAGGACTCAATTCAACGTGCATTGGGGGACCAAGGCCCAAAAAGAGCAGCACCAACCAATTCACGACCCAATATCCCCTGTGCCTGTACAGGCTATATACACACTAACGTTATTTTATTTAAAAATAAAAATAAAATAGATGATAATAGAGTTAAAGAATATTATCTTTATTATAGCATAAATACTAAGGTTCCAGAAATACTCTTCTATTAGAGGAACCTACTCTAAGTAAAATTATCTTTGACCATGCTAGGTTACTTTGGTCGTGACACTCCAACAGCTGAGCCCTATAAAAGGAACAACGCACAAAGACACTAAGTACATACAATGTCTCACGTCTGCTCCTCTTCTAGTTCACAATGATTTGGTGCGTGTTTGAATAACCGTGACATTCAACTTTACTCCAATTTCTTATTCAATCTTTTATAACTACTATTTTTAATAATAATGACTAAAGGAGAAGGACCAAATTTTCAGGCTTCACATTCAGTCACATGAATATTTAATTTGGTTTCATAAATGCAGAACATCATGAAAGATGACCATTTAGAAATTGTTTACCAGTGGTCGTATAAGACGGTCCATCTCCAGCATGATATCCTCCAGTAAACAACCTTCCCCTTTTGTTTTGTAGTGGGAGAAGAGGTAGTTAGCATGCAAAAGATCATATGTCCGAGGATAACTTGAAAATGGTTCACACCTAATGTAAAGATATCAATATTAGCTGCATTCAAATAATAAGTACAAATACATGTTTTAAGAAAGTATTTATCATATGCAAAGTCTTACCAATCATGGAAGGCTCCAATCAATCCCCGGTCATAAATTCCAGATAAAGTGTTCTTCATGCTCGCAGGAACTACATTCATTACCCAAACAGGAAAGTTATTTAGTGCAACAGCAAATCCACCACAATAGGCATTCATATCCATCACATTGCGTATATCTGTCTCCTTGACGTTCATCAATCTCCAGTAATGACCGATTTGTTCTTGCCAGAAGAGAGTATCTGAATTAAATTCATCCCGATTTATACCTGTTGTTCAAAAGGTTAAAGGGTTATCAGACTGAAAGGAACTATTGAGTGCACCCTAGTAATTCTTGTTTATCTTATAATTTCCGGTTGAACGGTTAAACAATAGTAGCCGTTTTTTTCTAGATGTATAACTTAGCTATTCCATTCAAAAACAGGGCATGAGGAGATGCACCAGAGAATGTTTATCTATATTATTATGTTATCAATATAAACATTAATCCTTATGAGATTACTTTTATTTTAGACAATTTGGAGAAGTGTTTTAACTACATGTCTCTCACTGAACTTGGAAGTTTCTGGACAGAACTTTTCACAGGTTGAGAAATAAAGTAAAATTAAAATAGTATCACAGAATGTTCCTTTGAGAAATAGACCTGAATATTGTCTAAAGCCATTTGAAAGTACGTTTGGATAATAACAAAGAAAATGCATCAAGAAGCATAATATATCAATATTCAAACCATGGGCATTAAAATTTTTAACACAGCACAATATATGTTGCCCGAAATTTGAAACCAGGACACGATCATTTAAATTGAACAAAAACCTTTGTGACAAATATCTATGATATTTGTGCATGTGCATTTGTGTGACCAGGCATCATCACTACTATAAAGGTTAGGTTGAAAAAGCATAATTTAAGGTTCTCAGAAATTAGCTTCGTGTACTAGTACAAAAGAGAGTGGACAGACCTATCATGTTAAGGTTCTCAGAAAACACTGAATGGCGCTCATGACTAGGAGGAAGCTTGTAAGAATCTGTTTTAGAATTTCTAACTTGTACACAATTCTTAAGTTGGATATTCCATGAAGGTTTAGAATCATCAGCAGCATCACAGGGCTTTATAAGATTTTGTTCAGCATTATGCAGAAGGCATGACTGGTTATTTTCTTTAATCCATATTGCTGTCTGAACTTGTCGAGCAATGAGTCTCCAGCACATTGCTGTAGTCAAACTCACCAACTTGTCCCAAATGACAGGATAATCTTTATCCTTTTTATAAGCGGGGGGAGCTGAATAAGCAAAGTACCCATTAGGGCGAAGAAGGCGATTCAACTCCTTCAGTAAAATCCCATCTGCAGAAAGCAAAATAAATTGACAATGAACAAGTCTGTCAGAACAGCATGGAGTTCATGAATAACATGATAAGAGTTCATGAATAACATGATAAGAGTTCATGCATCACATACTAATTCAATTCAGGTTTCACAGGAATTAGTATTTAGGAAACATCATTCTATCTCTTTGTCTAGGAAATAGTACACACTTGGTCATTTAAAAGTAATGAATAGATCCAATAGGGCAAGTCTTTGGCATGCTCCTATTCTGCCAGGTCATACTATACAAATAAAAATGATGACAATGTCAAAGAAAACTATGGGGAGAAGAACATATCTAAGCTATACAATCAAAATTAGGTAGTGAGTAATGATGTAAGCACTTACTAAAATATTTTCCCATTTCTTCTACTTTCTGTTTAATATTTATTAGTACATGTTTACAGGTAAATTATTAAAAATAGGCTAAAATGCAAGAAACCACCTTCAATCAATGGTCAACTCTAGAATGAGGAGTTTTAGCAACACATTTTCTAACAAGCTCCTTCTAATACATTCTCCACTATTAGTTAAAAATTATTATAAACTACAAATTCATGAGTGGTAGTCAAGAATGAGACTGATACAAGACTTCTCGTTAAGAAGGTATATGTGTGAAGGCATAAGAATATTAATGGGGATAAGGGCACAGCTGATATGGGTGCAGTTGTAACTATAACTGACTCAATGTACCAACAACAGTAACCAGTAGAATAAATATGAATACAAGTTAGAATTTGGGGTGTGATTTGTAGCATTCTTTGGGAGAGGTTCTGGGCACTCTCAAATTGCCCAGAGTTGTAAACATTTTCTTCTCTATGTTATATTGATCTAGAGTTCACCTTAATAAAATTCCACTTTCTTCATCTAGATCTAAATCCCTAATTCCCCCCCCCCCCC